AAGAGTTTGTCATCGGTCATTGATGCGTGCGCTAATTATCAAGTTAATCGGGTATCTAAAAGTCGATAAAAACACACGTATTCATATCAAACAAATAAAAGCATGTTAAAATTATTTATTTTGTGACAGAGTGTATCTATAGGCAACATATATTATTGTTTTACCGATTGGTTTTAGCGTAAAAACAATGTGTTTCATGAAGGTAGAATATATCTCATTTACTTGCAATAATCGATTTGCTATCCTTCAAATCGTCGGGCAAAACAGTGACGCAGACCTATAGCAGGTAGTGGTACGCCCCAATGGTTTCAGTGCATCAACAATGGTGAAGTCCGAGACTGTAAATCGCGTCTGGTAAAGCGAACATTTTCGTTTGCAATGTACTGTCAAGGTTTGAAATGATGCATCGTTTTAATATATATAATAATAAATAAATAAATAAATATAAATAAATAAATATTTACTAACAATCACGCCACGTTAACTGGTTCCATGATAAGTTCGTAAAGAACTTGTGTTACAGGTACCAGATAACGGAAATAAATGTAAGATTTTTATTATACACATATATATATATATTTAATATACATCCATAACCCTGGAAAATACATTTATATTTATCATACAAATATCTTCCCTTGGCGGGATTCGAACCCGCGACCCCCTTGTGTAGTGACCATGTCACTTACCACTACACCAGACGGTTTAGGCAGTAATTATTCAGTTTCCATTTTTAAAGTAGAACTTTGAAATAACTACGTGCACCTCAATGTAACGTAAGCCTTTTGTACTCCAATAACAATTTCAAGCTGTCTTCGCCAATTTCGCATCGACAAAAAACGTTGGAAGGTAAAAAATACAACAATAGGGCCCACCTGTGCAGGTACGTACTAAGCAATATTATTGGGGGTTAATAACTGTTCAATTTTGACAATTGATTTTTTTGTTGATTTAATAATTTCAAGCAACTCATTTCAGTTCCGCCGTGGTTCCCATTCTTGAGAATTCGATGAATTTACGTAAATATTTAAACACGGTGTTGTTTGGAACAGCATCACCGGATCTCCTCTCTTGGTTGTCATCAATCACTAATAAGGGTCTCACTGGACAGTAATCTTCATCAGAGTGTTGTAATATACTTACCAATTTGCGTATCCTGTCGCGGATAAAGCATTTGTTCTGGTTCGATAACTGCCATGTCAAAATATTAAGGCATCACTTCTTAAGATGAATCTTGAATGAAACTCGTCATTATGTTTTTGGGGTTCAGTGACATCTTGGGCGATTTAGTGATTGGGTGGGTCGTGAGCTTGTTTGTCGATTAGCGAGAAACAAAAGGCCACATGAAAAAGCGTGATATTAAGAAACGAGGGCATTAGATATAGGGTATTGGATGAGTTTATTCTGTGAATCTGTTTGGCACTAAGCGACTTTATTTAGATAAACGAAATCAAATTATAATTTAACATTTCATTGTGCGTTTCAAACAACTTACATAAAGTGGAAAATGATGGATGTTAGTTAAATATATCGACGAAAGAAAGCGAAATTATTGTACTGTGAAGGCGCGAATTCAAAGAAATCCCAAACGTAAGCAGAAACTGTTAGCCCTTCAGATGGGGTTAAGCAGAACCACGGTGAAAAGGGTGTTAAATGAAGACTTAGAGCTTCGGGCATATCGAAGAAAAACAGGACATCGTTTGAATGCTCGTCTAATGGACCTGAGACTGAAGAGATGCCGCGCTTTGTTGAAGCGGTACACGGGAAAAAAAAAATCGGGAAATTCTTTTTTCGGATGAAAAAATTTTTACCGTAGAAAAGAGCTACAACAAACAAAATGATAAGGTGTACGCACACAGTAATGAAGAAGCGAACAATCGTATTCCGCGTGTCCAACGAGGTCATTTTCCATCTTCGCTCATGGTATGGTTGGGAGTTTCTTATTGGGGCTTAACAGAGGTACATTTTTGTGAGAAAGGTGTAAAAACGAATGCAGTTGTGTATCAAAATACAGTCCTGACGAACCTCGTGGAACCTGTTTCTCATACCATGTTCAATAACAGGCACTGGGTATTTCAACAAGATTCGGCGCCAGCTCATAGAGCGAAGAGCACACAAGACTGGCTGGCGGCGCGTGAAATCGACTTCATCCGGCACGAATACTGGCCCTCCTCCAGTCCAGATTTGAATCCGTTAGATTACAAGATATGGCAACACTTGGAGGAAAAGGCGTGCTTAAAGCCTCATCCCAATTTGGAGTCACTCAAGCATCCTTGATTAAGGCAGCCGCCGATATGGCCGCGCAGATTGAAGGCCTGTATTCAAAATCACGGAGGTCATTTTGAATAAACTTTAGTGTCATAAGAATCTATGTTTTGTTAAGTTCATTTTGGTATATGAATGGTTACATGATGAATAAACTTGTTTCAATTATTTTACATTAAACATGTGACAGAATTGATGACCTGACTAGGTATTTAAAGAGACACAAAGTTAAAAATTGGTATGGTGTGGTATCTAAAGTCTATGTAATTATATTAATATAAATACATAGCTATGGTGTAAAGTTGGCTTTTTCAAGTTACGACTGAAGAATGGTCGATACGATGACTGAAAAGTTTACGACCCCCCAGACACACCAGATCTCTGGATACGTCCGTGTACCTGCTCTTTTGTTCCCTTATTTAACGACAGCAGTAAAAATGTAATTGCAGAGATCAAAAACGCCGAAACACGACCGCGACGGTGTGAATGCCAATCCCCATCATATTATATGTGATTCGTTTACGGAAACGGAAAGGAATTTGATTCATTTAAAAAAATTCACGCGTGTACCAAAGCGCCTGAGTTTTCATATTCTCCTGGCGGTAAAGAGTTTTGTAGTTTTTTTTTTTCAATATCATTTACTATATTAGATGAAGCTCAGGGTGGAATAGATGCAACTCTTATGCCATTAGTCACCTCGAGATCCAAGGTTGAAGTCCGGTCCTCCCATTCACCAGCGGATTCTTACATTACGCACTACCACCACTAAATGTTGGCGGTGTTCATAATATCAACACGAAAACTTTGGATATCGTATCAACTGCTTTCACTTATGTAGTTTGATTATTTATTGGGTTTTGCGTTTCTAGGTATATATAAGGTATTATTATTGAAGTATCTGGAGGTACATTTTGGTTAAAGCATTATTATATTAATACCAATTTAGAAAGTACTGTCTAAAATCCAACCTCACATTGGCATGGCATGACATGACAGCTATGATATATTCACGCTGAATCTTTTTATGATTCCAGTTAAACCTTATTTAATATGTTTATATTATAAATCTACTTCCGACTCGGGACTGTTACGATGCACCTATTTTTTATAGACTCAATTTTTGTTCAGAATTGCTACAGCCAATTATGGCTATGGCAATCGTAGCCAATTTTGGCCAACGGCAAAGCTTCTTAACCTACTTTTGGTTAAATAACGAAGAATAGACCTGATTTAGAAACCAATTTTTTTTGGGTTAACTTTTAGTATCATAATTCTCAAAGAAAAGCATTAGATTGTGTCCCGCCAAATATTGGCCTAAACGAGAATTATTTTCTGCCAAAGCACGTTCTAATCGCCATTTTTACGGACACAGATAATTAAGGACTAATATCAAGTAATTTATATTTAGGTACGAGTATAAGGATGTCATCCATAAATTGCATTCTATAGTAACCTTTAATCCAATGACGTTAGGTTGGTAAACTTAGTGCATCTTCTAAGGAATGCCATTTAATTTCCTTAAGAATCCGGAGCATTTAAAAGACATTTATTTCGATCGTTTTGTGGCCATCAGGAAACTCATTCCGAACTGGTTGTGATGACATTAATTCATTGTACTTTTTTTACTTTTACAACTTACAAGACAGCGCATTTAGAATTGACTGACAATCTCTTTTTGTTGCAATTGTTTCTTGTTTCGACAAGAAACTGTGAATGGATTTCCGATAATTGTGTTATGTCATTAAATCAACATTACGATAATGCTTTATTTATTCATTAGATAATTATTTGGTTCATTTCTGTTTGCGGTTTATGATAAACTAAGCGTTGACTTGGGATAGACTTTTTTACAATACTTTATATATTGGTTTATGTATTTATGGATTTAAAGTCGAAAATTGCGTGAATATTACAAAGATTATTGTGGCAGTTTTAATTAGATACGAAATTTATCGGATACAAAATGAATTTGCATAAACAAATCACAGTTGCGGCATAACCACAATTAACCTTATCAGAATTATCTCTCACCGGCGAAGTAAAATCATCATACCTAGCTGCATCTATTTGCTAAAGTTTAACATTCACGATCGTAAATCAGGTGTTCAACATTAAGAATGAGATCGCTTACTTAAATTACGATTTATATGCGTAAACTTTGAAATCAGTATTAATATTTTCGTCTTAACTTTCAGAGGAGTCGTATTAAGCTGCGGATTTACGGCCATTTTTTACTATTATAAAAAATTGCGATGACATTTTTCGCGTTGGTATTTCGAGATGCGACGTTCGTGGTAGGGTTTCGAGTGTGCATACTGCACCTATACGCCCTACAGTGCGACCCTTCCCCTTACAGAGAAATTCTATGGTATACTTACAGCTTAGCCGCCACTCGCCAGTCTGGTTTTGTGTTTCAAAGAGCGTGGTTCGCGACATCCACCTGCTCGAACGCAGAGATTCGACGGACGTAACTTCAACGATTGGTTAATTTCGATTTTTAAACGTGTCCGCCATTTTTTTTTAATAGATTACGCGGGTTTTTACAAAAAATATTTTTTAATTTTGGAAACTTTTTGTGTTTTTTTTTTAAAGTTGTGTTTGGAGTTTTGTTTTTATGTTTTATTTGTTTATAATGTTACCGCGAAGTGGTCGCGTTGTGTTTGATTTGTAAAGTGATTTTTTTCTTGGAGGATGTTTGTTTGAGTAGTGAACCTTTTTGAAATAATTAAGGCGCGATGCTGCTGCTTTGGAAACTATTGTGGTCCTTGCTCATGCTGGCTCAAGCTGCTATGGGTAACTGGTGGTAAGTTCAACGTTAAACTTTTTTAAGCTTTCATCGTAATGGTTGTTTTACGAATTCTTTAAAAGTGTTCTTTCTTCTTTAAAATTTCTTTAAAATTATAAACTTTTTTAAATAAATTTAGACTACTAACTAAAGTTACTGAATCTTTAATTTATTAAGAACAAGTTTTTTTTAATTACTGCATTTCTAGTATTAGCATTTATTATCCAATATTAGCAGATTATTGTAAATCACATTTGATATATACTAATAATCTATACTATTGTAAAATAGTATAAGTTACTATACATTTTTTTATATGATTTAACTCAATTCATTTCTTGCGTTTATTATATCATTTAACTAAAATCTAATTTTATCGCACTAGTTTGGTGAATTTACGGCCCACCTGGTATTGTTGTGTTTGGTGTTGTTAGTGAAATGATGTTTACCAGAGCCCATAGACATCAAAATGTCACACCCCACCACGAGATATTAGGTCGGAGTCTGAGTTTTGTGGACACTACTGCCGCATTCTTTGATTCAGGTCTAATACGACTGGGATGGTGGTAGCTACGCGTAAATTATGAGGCTAATTGAAGGTATACGACAAAGAGAAGATCTTCCACCGAGCGGGTGATATTGCTCGGTAGACCGACGGTCCGAATGTTGTTGTTCGGAACTTGTTTAAATAAAAGCTTATCTTGAAAATGTCGTATGCAAGATTCAGGCATTTGTCAAATATCTTGTGTTTTACTACCGCCACACTAATACTGACGGATGATGGGGAATTTCCATCTGACTACATTCCGTTCGGATCCCATTCATACGGATCGTTTGGAACCTCCGGGTCTGCGGAGGGAATTCGGTTCCCTCTGTATTCTGTACCGTATGTCCCATGGGGAGTGCTCTGAGGAATTGTTTGAGATGATACCGACATCTCGCTTTTACCATCGCACCGCCCGCCACCGGAGTAGAGTTCATCCATACTACCTGGAGCCGCTACGTTTATCCACAGTGCGTTTCCAGAGATCTTTTTTGCCACGCACCATCCGGCTATGGAATGAGCTCCCCTCCACGGTGTTTCCCGAGCGCTACGACATGTCCTTCTTCAAACGAGGCTTCTGGAGAGTATTAAGCGGTAGGCAGCGGCTTGGCTCTGCCCCTGGCATTGCTGACGTCCATGAGCGATCGTAACCACTCACCATGAGGTGGGCCGTATGCTCGTCTGCCTATACGGCAATAAAAAAAAAAGAAACATTTAGATACCAGAATCGTTTGATAAATAGCCAGGCAGACTATTTCCAGTACTGGAACCTCACAGATATGTATTTACATTGGTAACGGAGTGACGTATCAAACAGCCTCTTTCGATTTATTGCTTGAGTAAATGAATAAAAAAAAATGCTTATTACTTAAAAATACTACACTGAACATTCTAAATAATAAGCAGATGTAGTTATTTACAGTCCAAAATAAATCTGTTAGGTATTAAGACGATGTATTTTGTATTGATGTATTTTTACTGGTGGTAGGACCTCTTGCGAGTCTGCACGGGTAGGTACCACCACCACTATTGCTGCCGTGAAGCAGTAATATGTTTCGGTTTGAAGGGTGGGGCAGCCGTTGTAACTATACTTGAGACTTTAGAACTTATATCTCAAGGTAGGTGGCGTATTTACGTTGTAGATGTCTATGGGCCCCAGTAACCACTAAACACCAGGTGGCCTGTGAGGTCGTCCACACATCTAAACAATAAATAAAAAAGTAGTTTCAAAGGAATGATGAGTTAGTTTCTCACAAATGAACTTATTATAAACTTACTAGTGGACGATCTACGATCGATAAGTGGACGTCCGTGAGAAAACAAAAATGCTTCACGTTAATTTGGTAACAGAGTTGATAATTAAACGTCTTGTAGAAAACCAGGTTCCGAGTTCGTATTGGAGCCTTTCTAGAGTCTGAAATTTTTTATAGAACAAACTTTAATATTTGCGTAATAAATATTTTCTGTATTTTTCTCGGTTAAAATGTTCAGTTACTAATAAGTCCTGCCATTTTGGACAATAATTATCAAGATCAATAAGGCTCATTATAGACAGGCGAACAATATGCTTAGTGCGAGTTTTTAAACGTTTTTGGTTGTAAAGATAGAGAAAAGATCTTCCACTGAGCGGGTGATATTGCTCGCTGGAGCGACGGCATTAATGCTGTTGTTCGGAACTTGTAGATACATTGTTTGTCGTCGTGGCCTAAAGGATAAGACGTCCGGTGCATTCGTGTTGAAGCGATACACCGGTGTTCGAATCTCAGGCGAGTACCAATTTTTCTAATGAAATACGTACTCAACAAATGTTCACGATTGACTTCCACGGTGAAGGAATAATATCGTGTAATAAAAATCAAACCCGCAAACTTATAATTTGCGTAATTACTGGTGGCAGGACCTCTTGTAGATGCTTCGCGGCATATTTAGCCAGATGTTGGTTTCACTCAGTCCGGACTTAAGGCGAATTTACATTACGAAATTAGTGGCATGAAACTAATTTCGTGACATTAGTTTTACCAACAGTTTCACGTGTAATTTAATACTTTCGTAATGCATGCATTAATTTCATGCATGGAAATTAGTTTCGTGCCCTGCGCGATTTTTTGGTGAAATTAATGTCATGCAACTAATTTCATAGTGTAACGCGACGTGAAACTAATGTCGCGAAAGGGCCTGCGTTGTGCGGACGTGTGTATTGTTAGTTCGGACGCGCTTCAAGCGTTGAAAATGGCAAACCAACGATGGAGTACAGAATAAAAATTAGATCTTATTAATGAATATCAGCGACAAGGGTGTCTTTGGGATCCGAAACACCTACAGTAAAAAAGCAAAATTATCATTCGAAAATAGTTTTTATAACTCTCAGGATCTTCATCTGCTAATTCAGAGACTAACTTCATTGCACCTAAATGCCTTCTTGTTGACCATCCTCGAATCTACCAACTTTTTTTTCTTGATAGTTTTTTTTAAGTTTATATTCTATAGCTACATTGAATATAGCAAATTATAGCTTTGATGCTGAAGGCGTCATGGTTACTGCGATAAGTACTGTGAATTTCGCGACACTAATTTTTTAACGAAACTACTTTCGCATATATCGAAACTACTTTCGTGAAACTGAGCTCAACATGCATGACACTAATTTCGTAATGTAAATCCCGCATTACAGAATGATGACAAGTAAAACTAGAAATGTACTTAATAAAACCATTTCTTGATAAGCACAAACAAACACGTACATTTTATTTATATGTAACTAAGTTTGCATGTATTGTAATTGATACACTGCAGGCCACACAGAAAGGTTGCGAAATTAAAATTTACACTGTATTTAGAATCTGACTCTTAATACTTTTTTAGTTATGTAATATTATTTATTCAGTGTTATAGTAATGTATGCAGGTATCTTTAATCTTCAATGCGTTATTTTACGGGGCTCATATTTCGCATAAGGCAGTAAAGATTTTAATTATTTCAAAAACTGTCTTCGATTTTACGTGTTCTATCAAATTTTTCAACGGAGAGTGTCATCTTCATCATTATCATTCTCCTGTCTTTCTCCCAGTCACCTGGGGTCGGCGTAATATGTTTCTCCTTCCATACTCCTCTATTATATACCATTTCTTCGCACACCCCCCTCTTACACATATCGTCTTTCACGCAATCCATCCATTTCTTCTTAGGTCTACCTATTCCTCTCAGTTGAAATCGCATTAAAAACAGTTCTTAATAACAAATGTTCACGATTGACTTCCACGGTGAAGGAATAACATCGTGTAATAAAAATGAAACCCGCAAAATTATAATTTGCGTAATTACTGGTGGTAGGACCTCTTGTGAGTCCGCACGGGTAGGTACCACCGCCCCGCCTATTTCTGCCGTGAAGCAGTAATGCGTTTCGGTATGAAGGGTGGGGCAGCCGTTGTGACTATACTGAGACATTAGAACTATATCTCAAGGTGTGTGGCGCATTTACGTTGTAGATGTCTATGGGCTCCAGTAACCACTTAACATCAGGTGGGCTGTGAGCTCGTCCACACAGCTAAGCAATAAAAAAAAAAAAAAAAAATTAGAAAGAAAGCTTTGAAAATACTATCTCGGTATGATTCAGGAGTGCACACTATGTAATTAGAATACTTTCGGTACAAATATAGAACATGTTTATAACAGAGCGGTTGCTTACGTATCTCTTTGCAATGTTTCATTCGTTTGTCATTTTTACGTGTAGCTTCTAGAAGCGTCCGAATGATTTGGAGTTGAAGGTCATGACCTCCAAGTGCATTTGCACCTCAGCAGACAGACATTGGCTTCTTAAACTGCCTCTACTTATTAGGAGTGGGTGATATAAATCGTATATAGATTCAATATCTATATATCGCAGCAATATCGTTGAATCCGATATCGCCCCGCACGAAATCTATATATCGATATCAGCCGATACACGATATTGCTCGATGTGATGCGCATCGGCATATCGTACCGATTCGTGAATCGAAATCTATATTTTGATATCGGCCGATACACGATATTGCTCGATGTGATGCGCATCGGCATATCGTACCGATTCGTTAATATCAGCAATATTCGTTTGGTTCGTATCGAATCGGCCAGAGTGAGTGAGCGCACGATAGGGATATCATGTGATGAATGAAACAGAAACAGGCATTATCCATACAATTGTAAACCTTATATTTAAGTCCATATGTCTGTAGATTATTCTTAGCGTATCAGCAGGATACAATTAAGGAAAGAAGTTTCAACTTTCGACCCTAACTTGAATGCAGTATAGCCTATTTGCATCGTTGAATTTAATTTCACGCGCTTTGACCTTGAACTAGAATTTTTGGACAAGTGTTTATAAATACTTAAAAGTTTTTTGTGTTTGATTTTTAAAGTACACATTTTTCTATTTTTAGTTGAATCCAAATAATTGAGTTTATTTCTTGTGTTTGTATTAAACTTTTGAAATCTA